TTTTCCAGAAGTTTATATAAATGGAGTCAAACAGTATGTACCATATGACTTCTTTCCCTAAGCTTATTATTTTGAGATTCATCCGTGTTGTTTCATGTTATCATTAGTTTTTTCCCTTTTTAACGCTGAGCAGTATTCTGTTCCACAATTTGCACTTTCATTGATTTGTTGAACATTGAGTTATTTCCTGTTTGGGGTCGTTACAGATAAAATTGCTCTGGACATTTGCTTTTATTTCTTTATTTGGCTGCACTGGGTTTTAGTTGTGGCACATGGGATCTTCAATCTTTGTTGCAGCATGCAGGATCTTTAGTTGTGGCACATGGGACCTAGTTCCCTGATCAGGATAGAACCTGGGCCCTCTGCACTGGGAGTAGAGTCTTAACTGCTCGACTACCAGGGGAGTCCCCCACCTGTTTTCTAATGTGTTTTCTGACCGATTTACATTCTTACCATCAGTGTCCAAGGCTGTAGTTCCCTCGATGTCCTCACCAACATTTGACGTACTGATCCTTTCATTTTAGCCTTTCTGTTTGATTTATATCTTATTGTGGTTTTAATTTGAATATCCCTTTTGCCAAATGGTTTTGAACATCTTTTAATGTACTAATTTGTCACCTTTGTATCTCCTTAGTTAATATATCTTTTGAAATATTTTGTACATTTTAAAATTAAGCTGTTCATCTTCTTAAGTTATTAGGGTTCTTTATTCTAGATACAAGTCCTTTATTGGATATATTTGGGTTTGCAGCCACTCTGTAGGTTGTCCTTTTATTTTCTTAATATCTTTTGAAGAACAGAATTTCTTATTTTGACAATGTCCTGTTTATTATTTTTTTATTTTATAATTCATATTTCTTATGTCATGTTTAAAAAATCTTTGCCAAATTCGAGAACAAAAATGTCCTTCTGTGTTTTCTTCAAGAAGTTTTATAATTTTACCTCTTAAGTTTAGGTTTATAAATGATTTCAAGTTAATTATTATTTACAATATGAGGTAAAGGTCCAGGTTAATATTTTTTTACGGTTGTTCTAGCATAATTTGTTAAAAAAGATTATCCTTTTTCATTGAATTTCTTGACACTTTTTTCAAAAATCTATTGACTGTATATATATGGCTTTGTCTCTGGACCCCCTATTCTATTCCATTGATCTAAATGTCTGTATTTATACCAATACTGCATTGTCTTGATAGTTTTATAGTAAGTCCTGAAAACAGTAAGTATAAGTGCTCCAACTCTATTCTTTCTCTATTTGTTTTGTCTATCCTAAGTCCTTTGTATGTGCATATAAATTTTAGAATCAGCTATCAATTTGTGTGAAAATGTCTGCTGGGAATTTGGAATTGTGTTGAATCTGTATGCTGATTTGTGCAAAATTGACAACAATTTGCCATAAATATATCTCTCCATTTATTTAGGTCTTCTTTTGTTTTATCAACAATGTTTTGTAGTTTTCAGGGTATAAACCTGACACACATTTTTTCAGATTTAGCCTTAGCATTTCATATTCCTTGATACTATTTTTTATTGTAATTTAGAGGCAGAAGTCACATAACATGAAATTAATCATTTTAAAGTCAATAGTTCAGTGACATTTGGTACATTCATAGTGTTGTGTATCACAAACTCTGCCTAACTTTCAAAACATTTTCATTACCTCAAAATAAAATCTGTACCCATTAAACAGTTATTGCCCTATTTTCCCTGTGCCTAGGCCCTGGCAACAACCCATCTGCTTTCTGTCTCTACACTTTGGTTTATTCTGGATGTTTCATATAAACAAAAGTCACTGTGTGTCTGTCTTCTTTCACTTAGCATGGTTTTGAGTGCTGTAATATATATGTGAGTTCTTCATTCCTTTTTGTGGCTGACTGATACTCCATTGTATGCATGTGTCACAGTTTGTTTATTCATTCATCATTGATGGACCATTTGAGTTGTTTTCACCTTTTGACTGTCATGAAGAGTGTTGTCTATGAATGTTCATGTACAAGTATTTGAACATCTGTTTTCAGTTCTTTTGAAGTTCTGTACCTAGAGCTAAAATTGGTGGATCATATGCTTATTCTCTGTTTAACTTGTTGAGTACCTGGCAAGCTGACTCCACAGTGGCTGCACCATTTTACATTTCCAAAGCAGTGTACAAGGGTTTCAGTTTCTCCGTGTCTTCATAGACTTTTGTTACTTTATGCTTTTATTATTTCAGCCATCCAAATAGGAATAAACTGGAAACTCATCATAGTTTTGATTTGAGTTTTCCTAATGACTGGTTATGTTGAGCATCTTTTCTTGTGCTTATTGTCTGTTTTTATGTCGTCTTTGGAGAAAGGCTTAACCAAGTTCTTTGCCTGTTTTTAAACAGAGTTGTGTTTCTTTTTGTTGCTGCATTCTTTATATATTCTTGATACTATTTTAAATAGTTTTACATTCTAAATTTTGATTTCCTATTGCTTGTTGCTAGCATATGCAAGTACAGCTGATTTTGTATATTTATCTAATATCATGCAGACTTGCTTTTTATTTCTAGCAGATTTTGCCCTTAGGATTTTCTGTATAGACTATCATGTCATCTACAGGAAGTTTTACTTCTTCCTTTACAGTATGTATACCTTTTATTTTACTTGCTTTACTGCAGTTGATAGAAATCTCAGGAAAATTTGTGCATTGAACTTTTGAGAGTGGACATCCTTGCCTTCTTCCTGACCTTACAGAGAAAGCATTCATTCTTTTATTATTAAGCATTATATTTTTTAATTTACAGATTTTTTCCCAAGCTGGGAACTTATTCCTACATTGCTGAGAAATTTTATTATAATAATTTCTGAAATTCATCTACTGCTTTTCTCCATTTGTTGATATCATCAGTGTGGCCTTTTTATTTTTGGTCTGTTATCATGATGCACACTCAGTTGCTCAGTTTTGTCTGACTCTTTGTGACCCCATGGACAGATCAAACCCCACCTAGGCTTGATTCCTGGGTCGGGAAGATCCCCTGGAGAAGGAAATGGCAACCCACTCCAATATTTTGCCTGGAAAATCCCATGGGTAGAGGAGCCTGGTGGGCTATAGTCCATGGGGTTGCAGAGTTTGACATGATTGAATAACTAAAGGGCAACAGCAGGCTATCAATTATTGAGGGGAAGAAGAACCTGAATGGGAGACCTAGCCAAGATCTAAGGGTAAAGACAGCTAGATGTGAGACTGTGAACATTTTCAGAGCATTTTAATTCTGGTTGTTACTGTTTTAAACTGGGAAATACTATATTCACTAAAAGCTGTGAAAAAAATTTTAATTTTTTTTTTAACAAAATGCAGTGACTGAAAAATGAGGGGAAGAGGTATTGAAACCTCTTATCAAAGCTGTGGATTTCTCCTTTTCTTTCCAGTTCTAGAAATTTTTGCTTTATGTATTTTGAAGCTTTGTTAGGTACACAGACATGACTGTTGCATCCCCTTGATCCCCTTCTATTTATGAAATGACCATCATTACCCCTCTTTTCTAATAAATAGTATTTTCCTTCATTAGCAACTTACTCTGATGATCCTAATTTTCCCATCACCTATCAGGAAACTGGTTTATTCTAAAGAAAGTACTTTCTAATGTACTCCTTGGAAGGAAAGTTATGACCAACCTAGATAGCATATTAAAAAGCAGAGACATTACTTTGCCAATAAAGGTCTGTCTGGTCAAGGCTATGGTTTTTCCAGTGGTCATGTATGGATGTGAGAGTTGGACTGTGAAGAAAGCTGAGCACCGAAGAATTGATGCTTTTGAACTGTGGTGTTGGAGAAGACTCTTGAGAGTTCCTTGGACTGTAAGGAGATCCAACCAGTCCATCCTAGAGGAGATCAGTCCTGGATGTTCATTGGAAGGACTGATGCTGAAGCTGAAACTCCAGTACTTTGGCCACCTCATGCGAAGAGTTGACTCATTGGAAAAGACCCTGAGGCTGGGAGGGATTGGGGGCAGGAGGAGAGGGGGACGACAGAGGATGAGATGGTTGGATGGCATCACCGACTCAATGGACGTGAGTTTGAGCGGACTCCGGGAGTTGGTGATGGATCAGGAGGCCTGGCGTGCTGCGATTCATGGGGTCGCAAAGAGTCGGACACGACTAAGTGACTGAACTGACCTGAACTGAATGGTCAGTTTTCCAAAGATGTAATGATCTGCCTCAATAAGTAACAAAAATTTGAAACAACATTTTTGAATCATAGAGTGAATTTTTAGTGATGTTATATATAAATTTCAAATATGTTTCATCATTGGATTACATGCTTTTTGAAGTACTTTCTAAGCTTGACCTTCTATAATTCTAATTAATTGTATATTATGACTACTTACATCTAATAATTAGATGAAATTACTTCATATTTTTTTTATCTCATGAGTCTTTTTGTCTGTATATTGTCTATTCTTAAAGTGTCTCTTCTGATACATACTCTGGTATTTGTACTCTTAGACAAACTTGATAAAAAGCATGGTTATCATTTATTTATCAACTATGTACAGTATTGTTTCTTTTTTGATATGAAGTGTTGTTTAAGTGTACCTATTAATATAATGTGTTCTCTTCTCAATTGGATTATAAACTTAAACAACAGGATTATATGTTTTCCTTCCCCTCCCATCCTGACCCTCAGCCAAAATACCCCAAAAAACTGACAGAAACACTGAGCAGATAACATGGGTTTAATTAGTATTCTATTTATTAAAAGATATAATTTTTTTTCTTGTACTAAGTGCTAAAGAGAAAGACTAGGTTTGGTGTTTTGCTGTTGAGACAGAAGGTATTGGAATTTTAAATTCTAGAGTTGAATGACAAGGAAAGAAGCCTGTCACTTTTGTACAATGACAAGATTAGTATATCATTGAACTTCCAGTGAATATGTTAAATGTGTTAAGTAATATTCATCTGCCCTTTTTGGAGTTTGTTTTATTTTTAATTCCATATATATATATCATAAAGATAAATTTTTGCTTTTATTTTCTTAAAGCAGTTCTTGGAACACCTCACAGCTTGCCACATCTGATGAATCCATCCATCTCCCCTGCATTTTTACATTTGAATAAAGCACATCAGGTATATAAATAGCATTGAGTATTGAAACATAAAAAATTTGGAGTAAATATTTTGTTTGTTTTTAACACTTAAAGTTCCCAAGGAATTAAATAAGTGTTTTGTTTTTAAATAGAGTTCTTAGTCTAAATGTACCTACATAAAAACAGAACTTAATAAGGTAATCAAAGCAGCATAGCTTATATATTTATTGATTCCTATTTGTAGGACATTAAGAAGTAAAGAGGTATATTTTGTGGTATATTTTTCCAGAAATAAATCAGTAGCTCAAAGCAAGTCTTATGTGGTTTTAACCCAAAAACTTACAGAAAGAAAAATAAATGGATAATGACTCTGTTCTTAGAACTTAATCAGAGTTATGCATGAGACAGGGCACTCAGGGCTGGTGCACTGGGATGACCCTGAGGGATGGGATGGGGAGGGAGGTGGGAGGGGGGTTCAGGATGGGGGACACATGTACACCCGTGGCAGATTCATGTCAATGTATGGCAAAACCAATACAATGTTGTAAAGTAATTAGCCTCCAATTAAAATTAATTAATTAATTTAAAAAAATCAGTGTTATAAAGATAATTTATATATGAGTGAAAAATATTTTTCTTACTTTTTTCAGATAAGTATTTTAAATATGTCTGTGTAATATGTCTCCATAATATTGGAGATGAATAGTACCTACTAATTTCAGGTGCTATTTAAGGCTATATCTCTATAGAAGCATAATTACAAATCAAACCTAATATTAATATGAAATAGATGGTTGTTGTAGGTTGAGTAAATTAATGTCTGTTCCTAAACCCAACTTTTTTTTTAAATTTATTTTTTTAATTGAAGGATAAATTTACAGAATTTTGTGTTTTTCTGTCATATGTTAACAAGAATCAGCCATAGGTACACCCATGTCCCCTCCTTCCCTTCTCCCTCCCCATCCCACCCTTCTAGGTTGTCACAGAGCCCTTGTATGATTTCCCCGAAAATACAGCAAATTCGCATTGGCTATCTGTTTTGCATATGGTATTGTAAGTTTCCATGTTACTCTCTACATACATCTTACCCTCTCCCTCCGCCCCTCCCCACCAGGTCCATAGGTCTGTTCTCTATGTCTGTTTCTCCTTTGCCGCCCTCCAGATAAATTCATCAGTACCATCTTTTTAAATTCCGTATTTAGGCATCAGTATACAATATTTATATTTCTGCTCCTGACTTGCTTCACTCTGTATAATAGGCTCTAGGTTTGTCCACCTCATTAGAACTGACTCAAAGGTGTTCCTTTTTGTGGCTGAGTAGTATCCCATTTTATATATATATATATATATATATATATATATATATATATATATATGTAGCACAGTTTCTTTATGTATTCATCTGTCAATGGACATCTAGGTTGCATCCATATGCTAGCTATTGTAAATAGTGCTGCAATCAACACTGGGATACATGTGTCTTTTTCAATTTTGGTTTCCTCAGGGTATATGTCTAGGAGTGGGATTGTTGAGTCATATGGTGGCTAAACCCAGCTTTTTAAGGGAAAGGCCTATTATTTATTTTTCATTCTTAGAATCTAACATAGGACCTTACACATTAGTCATTCATTTACTCAACATGTACTAGACACTCTGCTACCCATTTATGCTATAGCATTGTACAAAATATTCACAGTCCTTGTTCTTATAGAATTTCAGCAAATAAAGAAAAGTTAATTACAGTAAGATTTAAAGTGATATGGAAGAAGAGTCCAGAGTTTGACAATATTCATTTTATTTTAAAGACCAGATATGTAAAATAAAGACTGAAAGAAGACTTTCCTGGTGGCTCAGATGGTAAAGAATCCCCCTGTAGTGCAGAAGACCTGGGTTCAGTCCCTGGGTCTGGAAGATCCCCTGTAGAAGGGTATGGCAAACTACTCCAGTGTTCTTGCCTGGAGAATCCCATGGACAGAGGAGCCTGGCGGACTACAGTCCGTGGGGTCGCAAAGAGTCAGACACGACTGAGCGACTGATACAAAGACCAGACTGCTTAATGTGGCCTTGAGGGCCTGTCCAGGCTGGCTTCCCCTGCCTCTCAGGCGCCATAGGTGTTCCTGCCCCAGCTATGGTGAATTGCCTTTGGTCCCCGAAGGCCTTTCTTCTCTTCTCCTTAGGTCTCTGCTCCTGCTGTTCCTCCTGCTTGAAATCTTTCCCGTCCCAACACCACCTCATTCCCCCAGACTTCATCTAGCTATTTCTCTGCAGCCTTCAGGTCTCTCTGCATGAGTTAGTTGCTCAGGGAAGCCTTCCTTGAATTTATCAGTCTAAATCAAGTTCCACCACTCTTTGTTCTCATCGTTCCTTGTATTTTTCCTTCATACACTCATCGCCATTATTAATTGTATATTTTTATATTTAATTAATGTCTCCCTTCCTCAGGGGACTATAAGATCCATGAGGGCAGATCATATTGTTTTCCTCTCTATGTAGCACAGTGCCTGGCATATAGAAGTGCTTAATAAGTTTTTGTTGAATGAATAAAATGAGCAAATAAATGCTTGAAAGATACTGATATCAAAGCCAGAAGGGAGTGAGGAAAAGGGAGAAAGGATGAAAGAAAAGAAGGAAGAAATGTGTAATTAGTTTCATGACTGCATGGTCACATCTTGTATGTTACTGAAAGAATTAATTAGTGTTGCTTGAATTGGAAAGTAGGATAAGAAGCTATTGCTTGTGCTCAGATCAATGGGGGAATTCAACTTTAAAATGAATTGGGTTACACAACAATTACCTCTTCAAAATTAAGCTAACTTAATGTTTTGTCATTTTCACAGAGCTCACTTATGGGTAATACTTCTAATTTATTTCTTCAGAATCTTTCTCATGTTCCAGTGGCTCAGCAACAGTTAATGAAGTTTGAGAATATACATACTAATAATGTAAGTATGGAATTTTTTGTTTTGAAATGAGTTCACTGCTTTTCTGTAGTCAGGCTGTTGGTCAGGTGGTTTATGAATTTTCACATGTATAGTTTTTTTATTGGGTTATATCTTGCTGCCACGAGCAAAATTCTTTCTTCTTTTGCAGAAACCGGGCTTACTTGGAGAACCCCCAGCTATGGTACTTCAGACTGCTGTAGGGATAGGGTCACCGCTTCCATTGAAAACAGAGTTGGGCCATCTTGGAGAAGCACATAAAAGTAAATGATGTGTATTTGCTGAGACGTCAGTAAACAGTCAGATTTGAGATTTAAAGATAGTGTACCTGTATTCTACTTGTATTTACAGGAAGGTCAGATTTGAGTTTTTTTCAGTCATTTAAAGTTTCAAGAGCTCTCTTGGCTTTTCTATTTTTAACATTAGAATGCTATTGATAAGTTATGTATTGATGGACTTGCTTCCATGCCAAGATAAGACTTTCTCTGTTGGATATGCTTTAATATTTGATGATGAGTCATAGCAGCATGAGGCAAAGACATAGATGCATTGAGACTGACATGCTGCCCACTGGGCTGACAGCACATTACAGAGCAATCCATTTAACTTTTGCCTGGATGAAGAAACTGTTAGCTTTTATTAAGAAATATCTGGTAATTATAAATTTAAAGTTTGATTATTAAGAAATATCTGGTAATTGTAAATTTAAAGTTTGACTATTTGTATAATTTTTAAAATGTGAACTCCCACATAGTAGCAGAAAAAAATAATGTTACTATGTACTTCTAAAATACGACAAACTTAAATAGAACAATTATTTTTCTTTTTAGAATAACAGCATGGAAGTATACCAGGATTTCTTACTTGAGTGCGATTTTGAAAGGCATTTTAAGTTTGAAGTTTCACTGAAATTTGTTTAAAGTGAGCATGCTGAGGGGGAAAAAAAAGAGAAAAGCCATCACAAGTGATTTTTTTCTTAAAGTCAGTTAAATATGGGTAGCATATTGAACCTCTTATACATGAAGCCAAGTAAAATAGTTAAATGATCAATTCAGACTATTGGAATTGACTGGGAAAAAGTTAAACCATTATACAGACAGATACAGAAATTTTTATGGTGTGATGAGTCCTAAAAATTAAAATTTTGTATGCTTAAAAGCTTATGCAGATATTTATTATTTACTTTGGATTAAATAATTAGCCAATTGCTTTAGCATTGCTGCTTTAAGAACACTGAAAATTTGAAGTGTTCAAGTAAATATATTGTTCAAAAATAGAACTGTGAATCTATCTCCAAATATTAAGTACTAAAAGTAAGAAATTTGTTTAGAGAATTTTTAAAGTATAACTTTGATTTAATTACAATAGTTATCAAAACTAGTTCTTTCATTTAGCTTTGACCTATAGATTTTTAAAAAATGGAATGATTCAGAGTTTTCCTATTAAAATTTCTATTCCTTTCATAATTTCTTATTAATCCCTGTGAATAAAAATGTAAAACTTTCATGTATTAAACTTTCATTTGGTGCTTATCCATTCACAAATATTGATGTTTTTTATATCAGTGGTGTGCTGATGTTTAAAAATGAACTCTCTGAGTTAAAAAAAAAAAATCTTGATTTGTAGTGTTTATGGACTTTTGTTTGTAAACAGTCCAACCAAGGCTGATTTCAAGTTACCCATGCAAAGATATTGAACTCAGGAACTGAGAGGAGACAGTATATTTGACTCATGAGTTGGTACAAGTCAGCTGACTAAATATAATTATTGGGTTAATGTAACTTTAATAATTTTTGACTGTCAGAGAATTTTTTAAACCGAAGGCTTATTTAATTATTCCCTTCAAACATAGAAGCTGGCAAATTACAGCGACTGGGCTTTTTTTTTTTTTTTTAAAGACACTGATATAACTTAAATGCAAAAAAGTACATAAATTTTGCTGTCAACTTCTAAAATGTACAATTAAAACTTGGAATGAAAGAATATAGTATCCTTGAGATTATACTGAAAGATGCTGAAATAGAAAAAGCATGATTACTCTTAGAGGTTTTTGTTTTTCCATACAGGATGCTGCTAATTTACAACCTTTAACCTCACCTTTTAAATAGGTTTCTGCACATTTTGCCCATAGCTTGAGAAAATCAAAAGGATTATTGTTAATAAGCCTCATCTAACCAACATTTTTTGCATTTATGATTCACAGCAGCATCTAATTTGATTCCAACTCAAACAACTATAACAACTGGCATGGGCATATTACCATTCCTTCCAAATCAGCACATTGCTGGACAAGCTGGACCAGGGCACGGGAGCACTCAGGAGAAACAGCCAGCCTTGGTGGGAATGGCAGAAGGAAATTTCTCAGGGTCACAGACTTATCTGCAGAACTTTCCAAACCTTACTGCTGGAGGCTTGCTCACAGGACATCATAAGCAACAACAAAGTCAGCCAAAAGGCCTGGAGATAAGTTCAGGGGTAAGAAAACTCTGTGTGTGTGTGTGTGTGTGTGTGTGAGAGAGAGAGTGAGTGTGTACATGCATGCATACACATACATATAAATGCACACATGTATATACATGAAGTGTGTATATGTATTCTACATGTGTGTGTATACTACCAAGGAATATGTATATATTCCTTTTTAATTGTATCTTAAATGATTCTAATTCTAGAGTATTTAATTTTTTGGTTATTTTATAGGTGGTTTAATTTATGAAGTATCAAGTAATCTGAACTATTTTTGTATTTCAAAGGAAGTTGATAATATACTTAAAGTATATAAATATGGATTACAAACTACATAATTCCTATGTCAATGACATGCTGACTGTTTTCATAGTGTACATTTGCTTCTCAAAAGAAGAAAATATTAGATCCTTAAAAAAAGCTATTATTATAAACAAAAATCTATCTTTTGATAAGTTATGCCAAATGATGTTTGGGATTCTGCTTAATTGCTTGCCAGTTTGTAAATAAAATATATGTGTAAAATGTTTTTAAAATCTGTCATTATAAAATATTTAAATATGAATCCTTTATTCCTGTAAATGTTTGCTTTTCTAAAAGCCTTGAAATGTGCATAATTTTCAAATATAAGGTAATATAAGTTCAAAATTTTGTAGTTTAGGAAAGCATAGGATTACCATTCTTATCTAATTATATAATATTCTTTAAAGAATTTCTTAGTTAAAAAAAAGAATTTCTTAGTAAATGATAATGTTGTTCTTTAAAATACAATATTATTTCTAAAATGTATATTCTTGTAGCTAATTAAGTATTATTTTAATATTTAAAAGTAGAATAAATTCTAGTTTATCTGAAAAATTTCAAAGCTAGTTATTAGTCTCTGGTCTGTTCAAAAGAATCTAATCTTGGTTTTAATTCTGGAGGATTTTACCCAAAATTTATTGGTTCATAAACCACTGACATTTGTAAATATTATAATTGGTAGGTAGAATAAAGTACATTTAATTTAAGTTTTTTATTTGTATCTTAAAATACCATTTTGAGAAAACTTCGGGAGATGGTGAAGGACCGGGAAACCTGGCATTCTGCAGTCCACGGGGTCACAGAGTCTGACACAACAGAGCGACTAAACAACAGCAAAAAATTCTGTTTGATTTAGAAGTGACACATGAGGGAAAAAATTCTTGTAGTTGGCTGTATTCAAATATCAAAATGATAATATTGACTTTGTAAGAGGTTTTGTTGTCACCTAGTCATGACAGGAGGTATGGATAGAATACCTATTATTGTCCATTGAGAAAGCTAAGGTGGTTCTTCATAGAATGAAGAATTTTAAATATTTATTTGCAGGATTAACTGCTTAAGTTATTGAGGGAAGTTAAATAAAACTCATATATAAATATTGTTTCTTTTTGCACAGACTTTTTAATGCATGGAAAGAACTAGGATAGCAGTCCCTAACCTTTCTGGTACCAGGGACTGGTTTCATGGAACACAGTTTTTTCCATGGATGAGGGGAGTGGGGTGGTTTTGAGATGATCCAAGTGGATTACATTTATTATGCACTGCATTTCTATTATTACATCAGCTCCACCGCAGTGCATCAGGCATTAGATCTCAAAGGCTGGGGACCTGTGCACTAGGGTCTTTAGAAAAACTGGACTTGAGATGATTCACATAATGGACAAGTGAAAGTGTATCTGGTAGAAGACAGCTGAAGTAGGACAGAGCCTAGAAAACAAGTCCTGTGATGAACAATTGAGGAAAATAGATACATGGATCTTGGCAAGGGTTGACCAGCTGTCAGTTTATTTGACATTAAAAGAAAAATAAATTCACAGACTAGTCACATAGTATTTTATGTTTCTTTAGTGGACAGAATTAGTCTAATAAGTATGACAGTAAAGCCGATTTAGGCTTACTATAACTCAGAACAATTGAAGTTTTAAAACAAAGTTCACACTTTCACTAAGATATGAATGTTGTATTACTGAAGGCAATTATGCAGACCCTGGTGAACACCTGTACATTTTGTTGTAGAAGTGATTCTTCTCTCCTGACAATAGGGGCTTGCTTGGACCAGATAGTTTCAAAATATGTTTTCTAATTATGTAGCAAGATTTTGGACTTTGTTAAACAGTTGGTTAAACTTGTATGCAGAGTTTTAGACCTGCATCTTTTACATTATGTTGATTAGTGATTCTTGATTCTGTCTTTCTGTCAGAATCACCACTATAGGTGTCGAGGGTTGGACTCTATCTTCCTCAGCCCTGAGAATTTGATTCAGAGAGATAGGGGAGAGATCTGAATTTTAAGTGTACAACTCCGTGGCATTAAGTACATTCCCATTGTTTTACAACTATTGCTACTATCTATCTACAGAACTTTGTCATCATGCCATACTGCAGCCCTGTACCCATTCACCAACTCTCCCATTTTCCCTTCTCCCCAGCCCCCAATAAGCACTGTTTACTTTCTGTCTCAGAATTTGACTATTCTAGATACCCAATGTAAGTGGAATGATACAAGACTAATGACAACATTACTCCTCAATGGTCATCCACGTTGTAGCATATATTATATTGGAATTTCCTTATTTTAAAGGTTGACTAGTATTCTGTTGTATTTATATACTACATTTTGTTTATCCATTCATTTATTGATGGACATTTGGATTGTTTCCATCTTTCAGTTCAGTTCAGTAGCTCAGTCATTTCTAACTCTCTGCAACCCCATGGACTACAGCATGCCAGGCCTCCCTGTCCATCACCAACTCCCAGTCTACTCAAACTCATGTCCATTGAGTCGGTGATGCCATCCAACCATCTCATCCTCTGTCACCCCTTCTCCTTCTACCTTCAATCTTTCCCAGCATCAGAGTCTTTTCAGATGAGTCAGATCTTCGCATCAGGTGGCCAAAGTATTAGAGTTTCAGCTTCAACATCAGTAGGCTCTTGTGAATAATGCTGCTATGAACATTAGTATATAAATATCTGTTTGAGTCTCTGTTTTCCGTTCTTTGGAGTATTTATCCAGAAGTGGAATTAGAGGAATCATATGGAACATCAGTTCAGTTCATTCGTTCAGTTGTGTCCAACCCTTGGTGACCCCTTGGACTGCAGCAGGCCAAGTTTCCCTGTCCATCACCAACTCCCAGAGCTTGGTCAAACTCATGTCCAAGTCAGTGATGCCATCCAGCCATCTCATCCTCCATCATCCCCTTCTTCTGCCCTCAGTCTTTCCCAGCATCAAGATGTTTTCTAAATTTTTAAGGAACTGCCTTTCTATTTTCCACAGCAGCTGTACCATTTTATGTTTCCACCCTTAACGCATGAGAGCTTTGGCTTCTCCATATCCTCACCAACATTGTCTCTCATTGTGGTTTTGAATTTGCGTTTCTCCAGTGATTAGTGATGTTAAAAGCCTCTTCATATGTGTATTGGTCACCTGTATATCTTCTTTGCAAAAATGTCTATTCAGATTCTTTGCCATATTTTAATTATTTTTTTTCTTTGCTATTGAGTTTCTGTGTATGGTTTGCAAATATGTTCTCCTGTTCCATAGGCTGCCTTTTAATCTTGTTGTTTCCTTTGCTGTAGAGAAACTCTTTAGTTTTTTGTTGTTCAGTCACTAAGTCATATCTGACTCTGAAACCCCATGGACTGTAGTATGCCAGTTTAGCTTTTTAGCTCTTGCTTAGTACCTGCTTTTGTTGTGTATAACAAAATACTTTCATACCATAAAATGATATCAAAAACTGATTACTAAGACCAATGTCTATATTTCCTCTATATTTTCTTGTAGTTTTATGGATTGGGGTCTTACTTTTAAGTCTTTAATCCAGTTTGAGTACATTTTTGTGTATTATGTAAGATAAGGATCCAGAGTAATTTTTTTCCATATGGACATGCAATTTTCCCAATACCATTTATTAAAGAGAGTGTCCTTTACCCATGTGTGTTCTTGACACCCATTGCAAATGTTAGTTAACCACATATATATGACTTTATTTCTGGGCTGTATTTTTTTCATGGATCAGTATGTCTGTTTTTATGCATGTACCATACTGTTTTGATGACTATAATTTTGTAATATAGTTTGGAACCAGGAAGCATGATCCCTCCAGCTTTGAATTTTTCCTCAAGATTGTGTTGGCTATTCAGGATCTTTTGAAATTCCACATAAATTGTAGGATTGTTTATTCTAATTCTGTGAAAAGTGCCATTGAAATCTTGACAGGAATTGCTTTGAATCTGTAGATCATTGAGCAGTGTGGGCATTTTAATAATATTAATTCTTCCAATCTGTAAATCTAAGATATCTTTCCAGTTATTTGTGTAACTTTCAATTTCTTTCATCAAAGTCATATAGTTTGCAATATATAGATCTTTCACCTCCTTGGCTAAATTTACTCCAAAGTATTTTACTCTTTCTGATGGTATTATAACTAGCATTGTTTTCATAATTTCTTTTTGAATAGTTCATTGTTAGGATATAGAAATGCGATGGATGCCAACAGAGATGGTTTGATTTCTTCCTTTTTGATTTAGATGCCTTTTATTTCCTTTTTCTTGCAAAATCATTCTGGCTTGGACTTCTGATACTATGGTGACTAAAAGTAGTAAATGTGAGCATCCTTGTCATTCTCCTGATCTTAGAGAAAAAGCTATCATGTTAACTGTGGGGTTGTTCTTTATATGTAGCTTTCATTATGTTGAGGTATATAGATCTGTGTTCAATTTGTTCAGTTTTGATCATGAAATGATGTGAATTTTGTGCAGTGTATTTTTTGTATCTATTAAGACAGTCATGGTTTTATCCTTTATTATGTTTACATGGTGTATCACATTTATTGATTAGGCTGAGTTGTACCATTGTTGCATCCCAGGGATAAATCCCACTTGATCATGGTGTACAATCCTTTTAATGTGTTGCTTAATTCAGGTTGCTAGTATTTCATTTAGGACTGCCAGTACTATGTCGAGGATTTTTGTATCTGTGTTCATGAGGGATACTGGCCTGTGTTTTTCTTTTCTTGTAATGTTTTTGTCTAGCTTTAGTTTGAGAGCAGTGCTGGCCTCGTAAAATAGGTTAGGGGGTATTCCTTCCTCTTCAGTTTTTGGGAAGAGTTTCAGAAGGATTGATGTTAATTCTTCCTTATATCTTTGGTACAATTCACCAGTGAAATCACTTGGTCCTGGGCTTTTCATTGTTGTCAGGTATTTGATTATTCCTTACTCATTATTGGTCTGTTCATATTTTCTGTTTCTTGATTCAGTCTTGGTAGCTTGTATGTTTCTAGAAATTTATCCATTTTTTTCTCTTAGGTTGCCCAGTTGGTTGACATGTATTTGTTGATAATAATCGCTTATGGTCCTTTGTATTTCTGTGGTATCTGTAGTTGTAATGTTTCCTCTTCCATTTGCAACTGCAGTTGACCCTTAAACAACAAAGCAGTTAGGAGTACTGACACCCAACCACTCAAAAATCCATGTAACTGAAACAGTTTGGATAGAATCAGGACTCATTTTTTTTTTTAATTAAAAAATATTTTTTATTTATTTTACAAAAACTTTTGGTTGTGCTGGGTCTTTGCTGTGGTGCACGGGCTTTCTCTAGTTGTGGTAAGGGGCTGCTCTCTGGTTGTGGTGTGCAAGCTTCTCATTGTGGCAGCTACTCTTGTGCCTGAGCACAGGCTCTAGGGCAGGTAAGCTGAGTAGTTGTGGCACATGAGCTTAGTTGCCAGCTTAGTTACAGCATGTGGGATCTTAGTTCCTGGACCAGGGATTGAACCCATGTCCCCTGCATTGGCAGAGAGATTGTTGACCACTGGGCCACCAGGGAAGTCCCTCGGGGACCCTTTGTGATGATCTCTATCCCATGTTGTGATCTCTAATTGAACAGAAACTTTCCAACACTTAGTTAATTCAGAGATCTGTAAAATGAAAATACAGGTATTATGTTTGCTTTTAAGAAATCCACATGTAGACCCGCACAGTTCAAACTCTTACTGTTCAGGGGTCAGTGATATTTACTTGAGTCCCCTCTTTCTCTTGGTTAGTGTAGCCAAATTTGTCTATTTTATCTTTTCAAAACACCTACACTTAATTTCATTGATCTGTCTTTATAGTGCTATTTCATTTATTTCTGTTCTAATCTTTATTATTTCCTTTTTCTGCTAATTTTGGGCTTAGTTTGTTCTTCTTTTACTAGTAACTTGGCGTGTAAATTTAGATTATTTCTCTGAGGTCTTTCTTTTTTCTTCATGTAGACAATTTATTGCCATAAACTTCTCTTTAAACCTGCATTCCATAAGTTTTGATATGTGGTGTTTCCATTTTCATTTGTCTCAAGATACTTTTTGATGTCTCCTTTGATTTCTTCTTTGGCTTATTGGTTGTTCAAGAGTATATTATTTAATTTGTACATATCTCTGAATTTCCCAGTTTTCCTTTTAGGCTACCATTGTAGTCAGAGCAACCCTTGATATGATTTCAGTACTCTTAAATTTGTTAAGGTTTGTTTTGTAGCCCAACATATCATTTTTTTTTTTTGCTTCTATTTTTGGGGTCATCTCCAAAAAATGGTTGACAAATCTAGCATTATGAAGCTTTTTACATAAGTGTTTCTTTTAAGATTTTTAGTTTTAGCTCTTACTGTTAGGTCTTTGATCCATTTTGAGTTAGTTTTTATATATGGTATTTGGTGAAGATCCACTTCATTCTTTTATGTGGATATCCAGTTTTCCCATTTTTGTTGAAAAGACTGCCTTACTGTATAGTTTTGACACTCATGGAAAATCTTTTTATCACATATGCAGTAATTTGTTTCTGGGCTCACTATCCTATTCCTTTGGTTTATATGTCTGTCTTTATGCCAGTATCATACAATTGCAATTGCTAGAGCTGTAGTAAAAGATGCTTACTCCTTGGAAGGAAAGTTATGACCAGCCTAGATAGCATATTAAAAAGCAGAGACATTACTTTGCCAACAAAGGTCCGTCTAGTCAAGGCTATGGTTTTTCCAGTGGTCACGTATGGATGTGAGAGTTGGACTGTGAAGAAAGCTGAGCGCTGAAGAATCGATGCTTTTGAACTGTGGTGTTGGAGAAGACTCATGAGAGTCCCTTGGACTGCAAGGAGATCCAACCAGTCCATTCTAAACGAGATCAGTCCTGGGTGTTCATTGGAAGGACTGATGCTGAATCTGAAACTCCAATACTTTGGCCACCTCATGTGAAGAGTTGACTCATTGGAAAAGACCCTGATGCTGGGAGGGACTGGGGGCAGGAGGAGAAGGGGATGACAGAGGATGAGATGGCTGGATGGCATCACCGACTTGATGGACATGAGTTTGAATAGACTCCGGGAGTTGGTGATGGACAGGGAGGCCTGGTGTGCTGCGATTCATGGGGTCGCAAAGAGTCAGACACGACTGAGCAACTGAATTGACTGACAGCTGTGTAATAAGTTCAAAATTTAAAAAGTATGAGCCTGCCATTCTCGTTCATCTTTTTCAATATTATTTTCACTGTTTGGGGTCTCTTGATGTTTCATGTCAATTTTAGGATAAAATTTTCTTCTTCTGCCCACAAAAGTTAGAATTTTGATAGGGGTTATATTGAATTTGTAGATCACTTTGGTTTGTATTGAAATTTTAACAATATTAAATCTTCTAATACATGAAAATAGGATGTTCTTTTACTTATGTCTTTAGTTTCTTTCAGCAATATTTTGTAATTTTAAAAAATATTTATTTATATTTATTTATTTGACTGCACTGGGTCTTAGTTGCAATTTGTGGGATCTAGAAATAAGGTATGGGGTTTGTTTCTTCTTGTGAGCATGAATTCTCTCCTGATTCAAATGAGAAGGTTGTACAAGATGACCTTTAGTTCTCTTTCAGTTCTAAAGTTCTATGGTTCTAGAATGGTTTTTTAAAAAACTAATTGGAAAAATAGTAGCAGGTGAAATGTGATAATTTTAATCAGTATCCATAAATATTTCATAAATTTATAGCTTTAAACCTTGTTTCACAAATTTTTGTTACACTAAACCACATTTATTGAAGAATAAGTATTTCTCTACACTTTCTGCATTTTAATTTTCTTTTACCTCTCATTAAGCACTCACTCTCTTTTTTTGGTAAATAGGCTGCCTCTAAGAATCAGACTTCACTCTTGGGAGAGCCACCAAAAGAAATCCGGCTCAGTAAAAACCCATACTTGAACCTGGCAAGTGTGTTGCCCAGTGTGTGCTTATCATGTAAGTGAGACGCTCACTATTAGTATTTTGGAGTTCTATTGAATACTTTTCATGATGAGTTTTACTTTAATTTTTTAATTTAATGAAAGCGAATATTGCCTGTTGACCAGCTGAAGTCTGAGTTATGACCTTAGTCCTTTAATTGAAAGAATAATTAAAACTTTTAAAGTGCATTCTATTTTATTTAAGGAAAACATCTTTCATAATATTTTCTTAAGCATATGTATATTGAATTGCTATGAATTATAATGGAATCATGATTGAAAATAATTGGATAAAGGAATTATTTGGCAGTGCTATAGTTCTTTATAATACATATAGAATTATATTTCTAAAATATGAAGTTCAGTCTTCTATATTATCTAATATATTGAGAGTATTTGCCGAATACCCCCAATATATTAGTTACTAATAATCAGCAGAAGTGGAATTCTCATTTACATTTTTAGAGGACCTCCTCATGCCTTCAATTAGTAAATTAAAACTATTAATTCAAATATTGTTTTAAGAAAAAAATCACAAATGTGTTGTTTTCTAGGCACTAAGATATTCACTGCAGCATTGGTTTTCAATAGTGAAAAATTAGAAAGTGCCTTAATGGTCATCAATAGGGGAATGATTAAATAGTTTGTCATAAAGTGAAATATATAATTGAGGAAGCACTACATATGTTAATATTAAATGATCTCTAAAGCAAATTATTAAAGACAAGAAGCAAATGTGTTCATAGGGGACTGATTGAATAGTTTTTCATAAAGTGAAAAATATAGTTGAGGAAACACTACACATACTAATATTAAATGATCTCTAAAGCAAATTGTTAAAGACAAGAAGCAAATGTATTCATAGATTGGTTCCATTTATGTTTATTTAAAGCTATGTATTCTTTTATGTATGCATGTACTTGAATGTCTAAATGCATAAAGTTAAATATGAGAAAATACTAAGCTGTTACCTCTGGGAAGAAGAATAAAATTGAATGAAAAGAGATGAAAGATGAATTTTGTTTTTAATATACATTCTTTGTACTTTATGAAGTATCCTCTTGAACCTAAGCATTAATTTTTATTTTTTTTTAATTTTTAATTTTTTAGAGCCAGAAAAAATTTAATGTGCTTCTGGTAAGAAAGAAAGAAAGTGTTAGTCACTCAGTCAGGTCTGAGTCTTTGTGACCCCATAGTCTGTAGCCCACCAGCCTCCTCTATCCTTGGGATTTCCCAGGCAAGAATACTGGAGTGAATTGACGTTCCTTTCCCCAGGGTATCTTCTCAACCTAGGGATTGAACCCTGGTCTCCTGCATGGCGGGCAGATTCTTTATCATCTGAGCCACCAAGAAAGTAGGCTTCTGGTATGCCTACTCTATTTTTATCTGGTCTAAAATTTGATGGTTGCAACTGTTACATTAATAAGAATGGTTAGTTTACATTTTGAATGCATTGCTTTAGAGATTAGACGTATACTTTTTAAATGTTTCGATCAAGATTATTACCCATAGAGCAGGTTTCCATTTTTAGTTGTTTTAAACAAACTAGATAATATCATATACTGTATATGTATATATTTTCCCCTAGGAATAATAAAGGGCTTCCCAGGTGGCACTGGTGGTAAGGAACCTGCCTGCCAATGCAGGTTAGATGTAAGAGATGCGAGTTTGACCCTGGGTCTGGAAGATTCCCTGGAGGAGGAAACAGCAGCCCACTCAAGTATTCTTGTCTGGAGAATCCCATAGACAGAGGAGCCTGGTGGACTTCAGTCCTTAGGGTCACACAGAATCAGACACAACTGAAGTGACTTAGCACATGCACACAAGAATAATAAATGTAGATCTTTACTGGCGAACTAAAATTTGTGTTCTGTTTGAGAATATGCTGAATTAATGGGTTTTGTACTCTGTAATTTATAATAAAACAAGCTAACTAAAATTTATATATTGATTTTACCTTAAGCCCCTGCAAATAAAACCACTGTACAGAAGACTGGAATTGCAAGCAACCTTCTGGATACAATCTCTCAGGGAAATGAATCACAACACACATTGGAGAAGTGCATTGCTTATTCTCAACCTTTTGGTGATTATGCACAGGTACATCATTCTCAGGTTTTGATGATATATAGAAAAATCGCTTCAACTATATACTGAATTCACTGTATATGAAACTGTGATTCTTGTAATGTCATAAGGCAGTAGAATTGCACTGATCTATACAATATTTCTTGCCCACTGTATGCAGTTTTAGGACATGTTCAAAAGATTGCTAAGTATGATTTTGCCCTAGGTATTTGTTCACATTGTTTACACTAGTGGACAGCAAACTGCAGAGCAAATCCAGTCCACAATCACAACGTGTTTTTTTAAAATAAAGTTTTATTGGGATACATCCACATCCATTTACTTGCATGTTGTCTATGATGCTGTTGTGCTACAATGTCAGAGTTGAGTAGTTACAGCAGAGACTACGTGGCCCACAAGATTAGATATTTACTGTCTGGCTCTTTACAGAAAAATTCTGCTCACCTCTGGTTTATACCAGTGTATTCCTGACTAAGAAGCCTAAGGAAATACCTCTGTTCTTATTCACTGCTTATGGGTATGGATACATGATCGTGACTAGCACTATTAAGACTATTAAATGACTATGACTAGCACTATTCTGACTATTAAAACAGTCAAAAACATTAAAATATTACATTCAAAAGACACATGTCTTTTGAAATATGTTTATTTTTCTTTTCGGGCTTTTCTCCTTCAGCTTATTCTTAGTGGTTTAACACTGAGAATGTGTATCGTGTTAGTAGTATATGACCTTATGTAATAACAAGAGTCTTAAAACTAACAATTCTGATTCTTTCTTGTTTCTCATAGCAGTTACCTTCTCAGCTCTCTCCTGTCTATGAGAGCAATACTTAACACTTTGCTTTCTTTAGAACAACTGTGTTGGCTTCACCTTTCTCTAAACACTTAGAATAGAAAACCTATACAAATTCATTTAGAACAATTGATGCCTGATCATGCTTTTTTGATAGGATACTAGAAACACAGGTCAAATGAATTCTGTAGAAATAGTGAAGCTGGATATAATAAAGCCTCATATATGCTTGTGGAAAAGATAGAGAAATATGAATCGGAAGATGATGCAATTAGATGGCAACATACCTATATTTAAGGAACAATAATGAATTGATGCAGTCTGGAATGCATCCTCTTCTGTGTTTCATAAGGCTTCATCTTTGTTCCCTTACTTGTTAATGTTTTAAGTAATGCTTAGGTAAGGATATTAATTGTATGCTGATTATATTTACAAGTGACAAAGGCAAGAAATCATCAGAGGTGTGTAAAATCATCTATGAGTAATTTATAGTTTTGAAAATTAGAAATAACCTAAAATCCCAATAGTCTGTAGACTGGAGAAAAAAATTCATATATTAAAAATCATGTAAAACTATATATAAATGCATGATAAATTTTCATAATCTATTAATCTTTAAAAATTATAAAATATAGTCCTATACAATTTTGTTTGGTTTTTTAATAAGGAACAAAATTTACTTTTATAAACAAGAAGAAGCACAATAAGTTTTTTAAAATATAGTTGAATGTGCGATTTAAGCTTTGAAAGTTATTTTTCATGTCTACCTTTTCATTTATTTCAGTTTTGAAACCTGTGTTGCTTTTCTAAATAGCAGTTCTGCTTGTTAGATTATTGTGGCTGATTGCACACTTATACCCATTTACTCACGGAGAAATTCTGCGGCAGAGATGCCTCTGTGCTGCCTGCCTTCCTGCACCCTGTGCACTCGCTTAACCCGAGAAACTGGGGATGTGGATCCCGCCTGGGTTCAGTGTCTCATGCTTGTTCATAAAGTGAGACTTGTTCTCTCTCCTTGTGTTCCTTCATCCCTGTGACTGAAGCTTAATTAAACGTTACTCATTGAATAGCTAGTAAAAGATGGTCATTTTTTTAAATTTATTTTTCAGTTGGGGGAAAATTGCTTTACAATACTGTGTTGGTTTCTGCCATATAACAAACAACATGAATCGGCCACAATTCTACATATATCCCCTCCTTCTAGAGCTTCCCTCCACTCCCCCATCTCACCCCTTTAGGTCTTTAGCGAGCATCAGGCTGGGCTCGCTGTGTTACAAAGCAACTTCTCACCAGCCATCTGTTTTACACATGATAGTGCATAGATGTCAATGCTACTTGCTCCATAAATCCTGCTGTCTCCTTCCACAACTGTATCCACAAGTCCATTCTTTACATCTGTCTCCATTCCTTCCCTGCAAATAGATTCATCAGTACCATTTTTCTAGATTCCATATATATGCATTAGTCTATGATACTTGTTTTTCTCTTTATGACTTCACTCTGTATAACAGGCTCTAGGTTAATCTACCTCAGTAGAACTGACTGAAATGCATCTTTTTTATGGCTGAGTAATAGTCCATCGTGTATATGTACCACATCTTCTTTATCCATTCGTCTGTCAAGGGACGTCTAGGTTGCTTCCATGTCTTGGCTGTTGTAAATAGGGCTGCAGTGAACATTGGAGTACATGTATCCTTTAGAATTGTGGCCTTTTCGGGGTATATGCCCAGTAGTGGGATCGCTGGGTCATGTGGTAGATTTATGCCTATGTTTTTGGGTATTCTCCATCCTGTTCTTCATAATGGTTGTGTCAGTTTGCATTCCCACCAATAGTGTGGGAGGATTCCCTTTTCTCCACATCCTCTCCAGCATTTATTGTTCGTAGATTTTTTGATGATGGCCATTCTGACTGGTGTGAGGTGATACCTCATTGTAGTTTTGATTTGCATTTCTTAATAATAAAAGATGGTCATGTTTTAGGAATTCCCTGTTTTCACTGTTTGAAGGGAGGAAAAGGTCCAAGGGAAAGAAACCAAGGTTTGCTTTTAACATTTACTATATGCTTTGTAATATAAACATTTGATCTTTTTAATGACCTTGTGATTTCTAAATGACCACTTTCATAATATAAGTGGAAAAGCATAAAAGGGTAAATCATCTTTCAAGTTTATGCAGCTAGTAAAGGATTTCTCTGGTTCCAAAATCCTCATTATTTTCATTATACTATGGAAAATCTTATTCAGGCATGGAAGTAGTGTCATATAGAAACTGTTTGACTGTTTGCTTTGTACTGGCAGCTGTGCATAAGGAGCGGGAGAGATGACTATGTCGAGATATATGTGGCTATAATAATTTTTATTTCCAATAAAGCTATCACATTTAAAGAGATGACTGTGTCAAGATACATATGGCTATAATAATCTTTATTTCCAATAAAACTATCACACTTAAAAATTATAATTGAAATTCTAGTATTGGTGAAGTTACTTGTATCAGATTATCCTTCTTGCAGATATTAAAATTGAATCAAATATGAAACAAATATTTGAAGGCTCTGAAGAATAACCAAAAGCAGGCAGAAACTGAAGGAGAGCTGTTCCTTGAAAGAGGAAAACGGTATTGGCTGGGATTTATGTTTCTGTGACTTTTTGCCTAGCACCACCCCACCTTAACTGCCAGTGTGTACAGAAAGAGACAGCCCTACCAGCTTATGGAGTCAGAGAACACAGTTCAAGACTGTTAGCAAGGCTGGAAAGTAAGGGGGAAATCACAGAAAAATCTCTGTGTAAATTCAGCCCAAATACACTTGAGTGACTCCTGGGCTTTGTGTGGGGAGACTCCAGGGGACCTTGTAGCAAACAACAGATGGAAGGCTAAAGAGCTGTGAGAAGATGTAACTCCTTTCCAGAACAGAGGAGGTGATTTGAAGTTTGAGTTCATAAAGGATGACTCTTTCTCAACCCAGATGTAAAGAACAGACTTTTGGACTCTGTGGGAGAAGGCAAGGGTGGGATGATTTGAGAGAATAGCACTGAAACATGTATATTACCATATGTGAAACAGATCGCCAGTCCAGGTTCAATGCATGAGACAGGGTGCTCAGGGCTGGTGCACTGGGATGACCCCGAGGGATGGGATGGGGAGGGGGGTGGGAGGGAGGGTCAGGATGGGGAACACAAGTACACCCATGGCGGATTCATGTCAGTGTATGACAGAAACCACTACAATATTATGAAGTAATTAGCCTCCAATTAAAATAAATAAATATAATGTTAAAAAGTTGACTTTCTCAATAAAATTAGCAACCTTCAGAGGAAGATTATATAATCCATAATATCTACAAGTATATCATCTACAATATTTAATAACCAAAAATAATTAGAAAGTTGAAAAAACAAGAAAACATGACCCATGATTAGGGGGATAAGCAATTAATAGAAACTGACCCCAAGATGACCCAGAAGTTAGTGTTAGTAGTAAAGACTAACTTAAAACAACTATAATAAACAGGACTTAGAGAAGGAAATGGCAACCCATTCCATTATTCTTGCTTGGGAAATTCCATGGATAGAGGAGCCTGGCAGGCTACAGTGCATGGGTCGTCAAAGAGTCAAACATGACTTAGTGGCTAACAAAAAGCAACCATCTTATGAGCAAATGCACACCCACATTGTATCCTTATGTTTTGCAAGATTTATCTCTTGAACAGTGTACAAGTTAATCCTTTTTGAGCTTTTTTTTTTTTCATTCTTTATTGTGGTGTTTAATAAGGTTTTGTTTTTGCAAAATTAAAAACAACAGGACTTAAGGGGAATAGGTAAAAATGAACAGATGGAGAATTTCAGGAAGAAATATAAACTTAAACAATAGAAACTCTAGAACTAAAAAGTACAGTATCCACCAAAAAAATGTACACTGTATAGGCTTAGCAGAAGTTTGGAGGAAGGAAAAAAAAGGTTCAATTAAGATAAAGACAAATCAAAAGAAATAGTTCAGTTTGAAGAACAGAGAGAAAGAGGATGAAAACCAAATCCTCAGGGACCTAAGGGACAATATAAATAAGTGTAAAGGACAATCTAAAATAAGTGTAATTGAGTCCCAGAAGGAGAGAAGAAAGATAATTGGGCATATAATATTTGAAAAAATAATGCCAAAAAATTTCTCACATTCAGGTTTTAAAAAAATACAGATTTAACAGAGGCAGAGACCTCCCTGC